GGTTACCAGCTTCGTATATTTCAAAGCTTGTGGTCGGTTTGAGTTTTGGAACATTGTTAAAATATTGACCGAACACCCTTCCTGTTTTTACTCCATTTAGTAAAACTGGGTTACTCTTGCACGTTGCAGAAAACGCAGCCTACAGTCGACCACCAGTTTGCGAAATTGCGCAGGTGTGCCCATAGTACGAGTTTGGTATACATGTATATTTCCATTTTTACGCTAAATAAGTTAATGTTTCAAATCTCCCTATCGTGCGGACCAATTTTACAAACATCCTAACCCCAATTTCTCCAGACAAATCCGTACAACTTTGGAAAATATTTTCTTGTAAAATGAAATGACGAAACTATCGCGCACTCTTGTACTACACTAATGCCAACGTAATTATGTCAGTTCGATGTAATGAGCGTTTTACATCCCTCGAAAACTTCATTGTTTTTGTTGATTAGGAAATGCATCACAGAAAGTAGTCGACATTCATTATGTACGTTTCACCAACAGATCGACAAACCCGTGGAAAGGCCGTCGCCACGCATGTCTTCCGAACAGAAATCTGACCTGGTAAATCGCAGAAAGGAATTTTTGAAGACTCTGCCTGCAGTTAAAAGCAACACCAAGCTGGTGAACGAGAAGAAACAGTTGATGAGAAACTCGAAGGAAAAGATGGCAGAAATAAAAGCATCTAGGCTCTCACCAGAAGAGAAATCTTTGAAATTAGAAAGCCTGAGGAGTCAATACAGAAGCGAAATAACTGCTCTATCGAAGGAGGCTAAAACCGCCGCCAGGCTTGAAGACGGGCGTCGACGCACATTCCAACAGGAGAAAGAAGCACGTAAATCTGGAAAGAGAAGCAACCCAGCACACCCTAAATTGGGTATACCGAAAGATAAAATTCACTGAACATATCGTATATAATTGAATGTATTTTTTCACTATAATTTAACTATTTAATTTAAAATTGTATTTTTTTATTGACGTGTTTATTTCAGATTTTCAAATAAATGATTGCAATAATATAGTATTGTACATGATTACCAGAGATTGGGAAGGGGGGGGGGGGTATCGTGCTATTCAAAAGCAACTAGTCCACAATCGGATACGGATTGCCTATACTTGTTTGTATTTATGCGAATCACTTCCGTACACAATTCATTCTATCTATTGATGTTTCTCTAATTGCACTAATTTATTCGTCCAGGAATTAGACGAGCATTGCTAATCTTGACCATGTCCCGACAGACCTGGGTCTGAAAAACTAAACGCACGAGGCGATCACGTACAACATGTACAGTTCTTAAATAAAAACTCCAAGAGTTTATAGCATTATTCTAATGCCACGGCGATAAGAAATAAACGAAATCTGGGTCTCAGAATGACAACCGAGCGGTTATGAGAGCAGAACGATGTGTTTTAAATAAAACTCACTAATATTTGGTTTCCGTTCGGACGAGTCGGGAAGTTGTAAATTACATGTGCGTGCATAATAAGGTAAAATCTAGTTTGGCAGCCATTTTGGATCAAAATATTCATGGCCTATAATTGTGTGTAAACTAATGCAGTCCAAAGGCTTTGTTGCACATAAATCATACATAAATAAGTCTTTATTTTCTACTCCAACCTTTCCTGAACAGAGGGCCATGTTCTTTCGTTATGTCGTTTCACGCGTGTTCCAGTACTCTGATTTGGTATCAAATGTATACGGAGTAGGTTATGACGCTTGTAAATGCAAATATTTGGTACACGAAGATCAATGTGAACAAAAATACCAATTGTAATCTCGAACTTGTTTTATGCAACGCAATCTGAATAATATTGCCAAACTCAGTGGCGATCAATATAAAGAAATCCAATAAAACAATGTCTAGTCTATTTTAAAACAAAGACGAAAATGGGAACTTGACGAGAGGGGGGTATTATTTGTAGTGTGATCGCTTTATTTCATTACAGTAGCGAAATACTAGTGAGCTTCAAGTTGCCATAACGTGATATGATTCAATTTTGTATCCCAGAATTGTGTTATGTTATTCCAATCTCAGTTGTTATAGCTGTAAGCAGTAAAATAATAGTTAACTGTGATTTTTCTTGCCCTGTGAACTGTTCAGCGTTCAAGCTAATGAATAAAAATGAGATGACGTAGCGTGAACAAACCTGAAGTAATGATAGGTGGCGCTGTTGCAGGGAATGGCAGCTGCTACTCAGATACACGGTGACGCAGCGCTCGCAGTCATCTGGCGCACGCGTGATAATGAAATAAATGCGATATTTACTATATGCGGGTCCGCCATCTTGAATGCGGCATAAAACTAAATAAGAGACAAGTTGTGAAACGTCGTCGCTGATTGGCTGCTGAGCTGGAATGGCAATTTTGGGTTGAGCCTTTGCGTTTTTAGCGTGTGTTATCGTCGCTTGGAACTCAATTCCCGCGCCTGCGCAGGTGACGAGCCCCCCGCTTTAAATATTAAGTTGAACCGGTGCAATACGGAACACTACACTAACTGGTATAATTCGGATTCTGGAGTAGAGAACAATGAGTAATGATGTACTTCTTTGCACCACATCGCGTTGTATGTATGTGTGTGTGTGTGGGGGGGGGCATAATATGGACAGTGGGCGTATTTCAGAATGATATACACTAAACATGCCTAATAGTAAAAACCATGATGTTCATGCTGGATTAAAATATGGGAAATATAATTCCTAAATCAGTATAATATGTCGTGAACACGAACATGGGGTGCACGACGTTATTTTATTGTGAACTGATCGATACGAGAATAGACATGGCGATCAGTGTCCCGGATGCAATCACTGTAGAACTCGTGCCAAAATCGGTATGATCTGCGTCATTACAAAGGTCACTATCACAACATCGCGTCACGACGCCTGGAATGAAAGAGATGAACATAGTGAGCGTTACCATGAAGGTATCTTATACAGAAGGCCGTCAGAGAAATCGCATGAGTTGCGCCCTCTACAACGATGTAAGCCTTGAGGGAGGGCGCCGTTAACATGAACATTGAGCGCCAAGTTGGTGAAACTACGATCATGCATGGCCTTTACTGACTGTCAGGGAAGGGCTACTGATTCTCCTGATGAAGAGGAGAAGGAAGTTGGTTTGTTTTTTCGCATGTTCCTTCATGCACATTATTTTTGTGTTTAATATCGAAATGTCTGCCCCTCTTACTGTATTAGGTGGCAGTTTTCGCCCATTAATTTCTCCCATCGATTAACTCATCATTTGTTTTTATGATGATATCAAATGAAACTACACGGTTCTGTCAGGCGTGTGGCGATGTACTAAGCCGCTGCCTGAGGGCGCATTTCATGATTGATCTCTTTGATAGCGGCGTTTTTTTCTTTGTACAACATTTAATGTATTTGAATTCTGCAGATCGAGACGGAAACAGTGTCAATGTTGTGTTTTGGACGATAACTGTCCTGGCGTTAAGGTCCTGGCGGATAAACAAAATTGATATAAAATAAACTGTTTATACCTACCAAAGTTCATAATTGCTATTGGAATTAGTTGATTATTCCATAGAAATTTACAACGTATATAATAATTAAAGTTGAACGCGTCAACTGTGTATTATAATATAACCGTATTATCTGTTTATTATCTGTGTAGAATTACGTACCACTACTCCAAAACTCCAGGTTTGTGACATTACAGTTATGTTCACAAGAACGTACTGATGCGATAAACATTCCAAGCAAATAGATGTATTCTTCCTGTGAAATGAACATAAAACTGAGTGGAAAATGTTACTTTTTAAATAAATCGCGCCCTCCATCAACATCGAGAGTCGAAGATACGGCGATACGCATGCGCGCGCATACCGGGCGCGGGGTACAAAGTAAGCAAGCACCATTGACGCTGCAGTTCGGCGTCTTCTGTTTGTGCTGGGACAGCGCTTCCGGTGACGACACAACGAAGCAAGCACGCGTTATATTGTACTTGTAGACGCTCTAATCGACGTGACATAATAACATTCGCTTTTACTGAATATCAAATGACAGACATGTTTGTATTTGTCACAATGAAAAAGGCAGACGCCTTGCTTGCATTCTTGTCCCGCTACTTCCGGTTAAGTGGTCTATGTCGGTTCGATTGTTAAAGCAGGGGAGTCGTCACCTTCACCTGCGCATGCGTCAGATGGCCATAGTGCGTCATTGTTTACAAACAAGCGTCTACCCACAAGTTTTTGCGTTTTTAGCGTGTGTTACAATCATCGCATGGGACTCAATTCCAGCACGTGCGCACGTGACTACACTCCCGCTTCGAGGAATCCGTGTCAGGTCATTACTGGTTAATGGTGAGCAACATTTTGCATATCGGAGCAGATGTCATCGTACCGGAATAATACCCCCCCTTGAAACAGATAATAAGGAACCGCACTTTGAAGCAAATAATGTTGGACAATACAAATACAAATCGTCCACTTGAAATGAATTACTTACACTACATTCATCATCTTGAGGCGAGCACGTGGTGTAATTGGTGTCCGACGTAATAGAACCACAGTGGTCATCAAATATGCTACAACTATAGCAATCAAGACATTGTACGCCAGCTGAAACAAATATAATACAACATTTGCAGTATTCGTTTATACGTCGACATCGTCATTGGGTCACTTACGTACGAAAAATGTATTATCCAATTATTTCATAAAATAAGCATTTTAACTCGAAAAATACTCACTACAAATAATTGTCAACAATTGATATTTCGTGAAACTCGCTCCACCTTTATGCAAATTTGTTTTACGTCATACATACTAATAATCTCCCTAAAACTGGATTGGTATTTAGATTCTCTCATTACAGAATAAATTAGGCTGATGAGCCTGTCAATATAAGGAACACCGTATTCACAATACTGTCTTTAACTATAAAAAATGAATTATGGATAACTTTGAGTATTTTTTAGCATACAGGAAAAATATTTGACAAATTTTATTTGAATGTGAAACTTGATAAAAATGATAAATACAAGTATATTTTTGTTCTTCGTAACATTATTCGTTTTTATATATTAACTGAGGAGTGACAACATTTTAAGATTCAATCAACGCACCCAACATAAATGTCAGAGTTTTTTTTCAAATTAAGTGCCCTGTTGTGATCACGTGACACACCTGCAAAATAACATAACAAATTCCCAGTATCTCAAAAATAACAAATGCCAATTTATTAAACAATGTATCAAATTAAAAAATTATGTAATGCCCTTCAGTTTCTTGTAATTATATATACAATTAATGTAATATGCATAATTTTGATTTGCCTAAGATATAATTTAAAATATGTTGAAATACACACATGAGCACTCTCGAAAATGTAAGAGTGGATCTGTTACATGCAATTTAATGACGTATTGCTAATTCACTAGATTCATATGTCATATTCCGGCCTTTTTTTCCCTGTCATCTTTCCATTTACCTCTGCCATATGAACAATATCACGACTTGGCGGGAATTGTCAGCAATCTTTACTTCAATGTGTCAGAATGAATGTGACATAATAAAAATAGACTGACTGCAATGTAAAACATATCATTACAGTAATGTTCATGTCTGATGATAAAATGACAAAACCACTAATTATGCTATTCAAGCGTATATTTATTTGTGTTTTATTTATTTATTTGTATTTTATGTATTTTTTATTTGTTTATGTTGTATTTTATGTATTTTTTATTTGTGTCCGTTTTCCTGCTATCGTTTTGAAATTGTTTTAAGTTGTGAGCTAATGTAAAAATGTGTAATACCGACAATAATTGTCTATGCTTATATTTGAATATCCAAAAACATGTAACTTTTTTTTCTGTGAATAAATATGATAAATTTAAACAAATGTTATATTATGTATTGAGGTGCTTAAACATATTGTGCCCAAATATAAAAAAAAAATATTTAACACAAATTACAACAATCACAGCCACATCTTGTTGATATTGTCGTATTTGTCTACTTCTGATAATTATGAAGATCTGAAAACACCAATACCATGGAAATGAGAATCATATTTATTCCATAGGCGAATATTCACTAGTTTGTACAAAAACAGGTGCTAAGACATGAACTAATATTAATAATAATATTAATAATCATATTTTATTCTAAATGTTAAAAATACATTTCTGCTTGTATGAAATTACCTTTTTGTTCATGGATATAACTTAGTGCTGAGTATAGTATGATTAAACTTCCCTAACAACTGCAGTACTAATATCAACATTTGGGTATGTATGTTATTTCATTTTAATTCACACTTCCTGAAAATATCGATATCTCAACTCTGCGCATAATTTGAAATATCATACGATATGCATTGAGTAATATCATACGATATGCATTGAGTAATACCATACGATATGCATTGAG